CACTGTCTTTTTCCCGAGCAGCCTGTATTTCTTCTGAAGTTACCTGTGGGTTTTACTTTGTATCCTGAAAAATTATTCTGGCAATTGTGGCTGAAATCTTTCTTGGTCTACCTGACCTTGGCTTGGTATCAAGAGATCCCCACATTTTTCACTTCCTAATAAGTGATTGAACAGTACTGATTGATTGATCAGGGCCTTTTGAGTGATTTCTGTTATCATTATGATTTAAAAGGAGGCATAAAACTATGTGATAATAAATGGCTTCATATGATCACTATCCTTCAATAAAAGACATTTGTTTTGCATGATCAGTCATATTTTCAAAAGCAGTGCCAACATTTCACAATTTCTGCCTGGGTATGCAAACGTTTGAGCACAACTGTAAATCTCACATAAGAACCTACAGTAAATGTTAATGATAAAATAGATTACTGACCATACTAATGTTCAAGTAATGATTTCAAGTGTCACCAATTCTGCAGCTTTGTTCAGAAGTACATTTTTACTCTTTTTTTCTGACTGCTCATACAACACAATCAATCTAAATAATCCACTAAATTTTGCCTTTGAAACATGTGCTAGCTCACTTGTTCTAGAATATGCTTTGATAAGTCCCCTTGCTTTATGCAGGTACGGAAACATGTTGGTGACCTCTATGAAGATTTACGAGATGGGCATAACTTAATCTCCCTCCTAGAAGTACTGTCCGGTGACACCCTGGTAAGTCCTTCTCCAATTGCTATCTAGTGTTAGGAAAAAACACATTACAAGAATGAGGTTTCCCAAAAAGAGATTTATTTATAGATTTTTGAAGATAAAGAATAGCACTATCTGTCTTGTTCTTATCTATTAAATTCTATACTTTCTATATGTCATCCTTTTAGCTCTGTTCTATAACACTTTTTTTTCATATTTTAATGTACATTTCATGTGTTTTCCCTAAAAACGGAAAACAATTTTTAAAACTGTAAACACTTTTGGTGCCAGATAGATCTATGTCAGCCTCATACTAAGAAGATATTTAATGTGATACTGTAGGTACTATAAAAATGTCAACACACTGAATTGGTTATTGTTTTTGGAATCCCCTTAATGGACACTGTGATAGACTGAAAGTGCTCAGCTAATCACAGCCACCTATTGCTGCTCAGATTAATGCTTCCTAATGCCCGAGCAGCAGGAGGGACATGCTGTTGGGAACTCTATAGCATTAGAACATTAACCCCTTAAGGACACATGACGGAAATAGTCCGTCATGATTCCCTTTTATTTCAGAAGTTCTGTCCTTAAGGGGTTAAAAATGGTTTAAAGTTAAATGGGAGGACAGAGCCAGGGGACTCCAGACACTATAACCCTTTCAATGAGATGAAGCAATTGCAGTGATTACAGTGTCTCTTTAATACATAACATTGCTCACTGTTCAACATGCAGATTCCCAACATGCCATCAGTGCTTTTTCCTTACAGTATGTAATGTAAACTATTCCTTTATAACAAAGGTATGTCTGTGAAAAATGGCCGTGTACCATGTTACTTTACATGTGCAACATGTGACGACTTATATAATATACATATAGTATTCCATGAAGATAGCTTTAGTGTATGCTCTGAGATTTAGCAGATTTACTAACTAATTAATATATACTTCTAAAAATTAATGTTGCTCCATAACTCAGCCTTTCTGTCCCTTCACACCCTGATCTGCAGTACTTCTGCATTACTTGTGCTCTAAGTGTCATTTCTATCTGTTAGATGTAATTCAGCTGATAGCCTTCTATATAGAATGTTGACCACTGAACTATAGCTCCCAGGAATCCTTTATGTGATTATTAAGCACTGCTTATGGGAAAAGCTAAGCAGTTCCATAGCATATTAATGGGACACTCTAAGCACCGAGGTTTTAATTCTGTTACTATTTTCCCTACAGTGCACTGCAGAATATGCTAAATAAATACTAAAAATAATAATAATAAAATTAAGCCTTGCATTTCTGACAGCCAGAGAGCCGGGAATCACGCTTTCTGGATTTTAGACTAGCTCGTATTAATGAGTTGAATAGACAACACTCCTGAACACTACTGAAGTAGATAGATTTGACGTTACCCTAACAGAAAAAAACACATAAAAGAATAGTGTCCCATAGAAGAGACTGCTAGTATATTATCAATGTAGTTAACTGTATTTGAATAGTTTATATACATTTAATCATAGGATTACAAACACTTTTGTGTTTATTCAGTAAATCCTGAATTATGGTAGATTGACCAGCGACTTGAACATTTTAAGAAACAATAGCTGATTAGAAAAAGGGGTGAGTTGGAGAATTTTTCAAATTTGGCCGTATTGGCATACAGCTGGCAGATCCCTTGTTAATTTGCCACAAATTACTTAGTAACCCCGATTGACTGTTGTTTTTTTTTAAATTTTCAATACATTACATTGGGGTGTTGTTTTCCTGCTAGTTTATACTTTGTTATTGTAGCTCGTGTTCCCACAGCAACAGATGCACATTCTTCATATCATTTCAGCTCCAAGATACACCCTTTAAATGGCAGTTCATATAAGCTGTTTCAAGACATGAATCCAGATCTAAGTCACATTAGGAGCCATAAATTCATATTAATATTGGCCCTTAACATATACATATAGAGAGATTGTATACTACAACACTCCATATGCTTTTTGATGGGTTAAGTTTTATAATTATATATGATCTTAAATGGTTAATTAAAACAATAGGTGTTCAGTAGTTCTTGATTATTTAATCAATGCCACCATATAAATAAGATATGTTTGCAAAAGCATGAAAATATACCAATTGAGAAAGTACTAGCGCAGTCTCTGTTTTCCTTCATCATTTGCATGTGGTTAGTTATTTGACAGTGGATTGACGTGTTGGAGGCTGGACATAGGCAGCATGTAGAACTATAGCCAACAGTTCCCTATTATCTATTGCTCGCAACTTCTAGAATAAAAGCCTGGAATGTTGATAGGTGGTCACATGTACCAAAATCCTTCTCTCAAAATAAAGCATGGATTATTTTATAGCTGTAATAAAGTATTTCATCAGACAGACTTAACTGCCCTTTTCACTACCTGCTTTATGATATATGAACCATACCGGTTTTATACAAGTTCACAAGTTCCTATACATATAACACTGTTGCTGATTTACATAGTCTCTAAAGGACCTACGTAATGACCTTCTCCAGTTGGTTGCATTGTTTGACCTGGGATAATAATTTCGTTCATAACTCTCTGGCACCAAAATCTTAAATCTATTCTTGATGGATCCTTAAGTATCATTTCCTTTCTCTGTGCCAGAATTTCTCTCTGTCTGGTTCTCCTCCCTTCCATTATGTTCTTTTCATGCTCTTCTTTTCATTTGTGGTCTGTCTTGTGTCTCTGCCGTGCCTTCTTTTTCTGTCTGTTGTGTTCATTAGCCAAGGGAACGAGATTTTTTGAAGACCTTACGGTTGGTGAGTTCATCGGAAGCATGCGAGTATGATCAGCATGAGGATTTGGAGGATGAGGATAAGGGGGTAGGTGTGTCCCCCGTAACAGTACTAATAAATGTTTAGCAATGCAGTGACCAGTATAGTTTTGCATTTAGAAGAATGTACAAGTGTGTTTATTAATTGATTTTGAAGTCCTAACAGCATATATGTTTGGATTAATAAATGTAAAAGTGTGCAAACATTTTCCCAATTGCAATATTTATAGAGTTTGTTAATATATAGTAATAAGTTAGCAATATACATTAATTATATTAATGTGCAAGGGTGTGTATTGAAGTTTGGTCGTCAACAAGCACTGTCAACTGCAGCTTATGAAATTGTCAAACCACCGCTGGACACATAACAAATAGGTGCATTATTATAACCAATCCCCAGATCTTATTTAAAATCTAGAGACATCTCATTGTATTCTTCCTGGAAGAACACTTTATTCATAAATTGACTACTGCATAATCAATGTAAATAGGTCACCATGTATATGATTTATTGGCACTCAGTCTGTCTGCATCCTAAATTAGATTATCAGCCTTACAGGAATAGAGCACGCCCCACCAGTTGCATCTTTTACGACTATTTATTGGATCAATCTATGCTTCCAGTTAGATAATATCTTGCAATATGAGATGCCATTGTTTTGGTAATGTTATTGGAAATGCCCTATATACTTGGATAACATTTGTATCATTGCAAGTTAACACACCATGTGCTTATTATGCACACTTACTTTCTTAAATTAGGTTTTCTATGGAAATGCTGATCCTGAGCTACAGATTTTTATTAAAGCTAAGTGTAAAGTGTTCAGGTAAAATAAATCAATAGCCAAATTATTGCAAGAACACAGTAGGTTCCACTGCAAAATGTAGTTAGTGCTTACAATTGCAGACTGAATTGTGAATAGAACATAACCTATAGACTTGTGCATGTCAAACATAATGGTTTGTTCATAAACAATTTTGGGTTGTGCAAACAGAGTTTCATCCATGTGGGGTTTTGGTTTGGACAAATTTCACCCATGCAATCATTTTTGGAGAATTAAATTGGACCAGTTGCAAATAGTTGCAAAAAAATCTTGGTGACATGAGGGTTGACTTATCTGGTGACTGGCTAACAAGCCAATCTTAAAAAACACAACGTAAAAAAAAAAGTAAATATTACTATTAAGGAGGTATGAAACATGCCATTTGGCCCCCACCTGCCATGCTATGTGTGTGGGGGTGGCTACTAAAATACGGGGGACACCTATCATTAGTTCTACCCCATGTGAAATTAAACAAGGCCTCCACCCATGAGCAGCAGGTGGTGGCTGTTTAAAAAAAAAAAAAAAAAATAGAAAACATGAAGGAGACTTAAATAAACCAGCCCCCAACCATAGGCAGCAGTTAT